GCCATGCGGTTCTGGGTCTGACCTAACACAAACCGCATGGCCTAGATGCGGTATTGGGCTGACCTAGTAAAACCGCACTTTGGGGATGCGGTTTTGCTTCTCCAAAACAAACCGCACCCCCAAAGTGCGGTTTTGCCAACACAAACCGCACCCCCCCCCCCCCCAATGTGGTTTGTGTGTCGTAATTATTTTCCGACACCAAACATGTTGCCATGCAGGTTGACAGACGTGGGGCTGCATGGCAGATGAAAACCGCACCCTCCCCATGCGGTTTTCATTGATGATTTTGCCTATAAAAGACAGCTCAGGAAACCTCTTCTCTTCACACCTCTCCTTCTCCCTTTTCAATTTTCTATTGTAGCTCCCTACTTCTCTAGTGTTTTTGCGGTTAACGTTAACTCGTAAGTTTATTTTGTATTACTTTTTATTGTGAATTGTGATTTTTATGATATTAGTTGAACTACTTTTTTTTGCAGATGGCATTCCAAAAGAGACCGGAATGGTTACGGTGGAATGGTTATACGGAAGAGACCGGAAAGGGGGCAATTTTCAGAAAATAAAGGTCGCTACCAGACCGATGCTTGAAGACCTCTATCAAATGTGTACTAATGTTACTTGCATGGATGGCATGAGAAGAGTTGATCGTATGGTGTACCGATATCCAAACAGAGAAGGCGGGTCGTTGTGGCACGAGGAATATCTCATAACCACTCAGGATGAAGTAGATGTCATGCTCGAATTCTTGAGGTCCAACAATCTTTCCAAAGCCGAGATGTTCGTTTACACCGAGGCGGTCGTAGGTGTTGGAGGTCATTCTGGAGAGGGTCAAACATCTGGTATCCATGGTGGAGGTGAATTATATGGAGATCATCCCTACCAAAGTTACCATGATCCTCATTTCTATTTTCAGTACCAAGAGCAAGGTGAAGGTCATCATCAATCTTTCCCGTCATATGAAGAAGAAGTTCAACCGGACCATGCCAACCAACCCCAGTACAACTTCCAATCAGGCAGCGGTAGTTTTCACAACTACCATTATGGAGCCGATAAAGGTGTCTTTCATGAGCTAGATCAGATGGAAGATGCCCTGCCAGCACCAGTTAGTGACCCCTCCGATGAAGAAGGAGAGAACAACGTCAGTGCAGACAGCTCCGACCCTCTTGAAGGTGCTGATGATTCAGGACCAGAGTCAGACTCAGATAATGATGATGATGTGGCTCATAACCGTGTACCAGTCCCCTACTACAATCACATTAGAGACGGAAATTGGATGGTCGACAGCGACATGGAACCCCCAGAGGTTCCAGTATGGAGTCCACTCACTGGGTTTATGAAGGGCCAACAATTTGGCTCGAAGAAGGAGATGCGGCACGCCATTGATACTGAAGCAAGACAATCAGGACATGACAAGAGGCGTTGCCCAGGTCCACCTATCGAGCAAGATTCAGGCACAAATCCGAACCAACCCTGAGGTTGTTGTATGTAATTGTCATTTAGTTGTAATGGTGTTTAAGTTGGAGTTCTAGTATTAAGCTTGTTGAGTGATTGTAATGATGATGGATTTGTTCTTTGTCTTGGTACAACATGTATCTGGCCACTAAAACATTACCAATACATCTAGAGAAAAATACTAGACATGGATAGTTTAACAAAGACAAACATGACATAACTTGACAATGGTAGTTTAATGAAAACACACAATAGAGAATATGACATAACTTGACAATGGTAGTTTAATGAAATCCACACAATAGAGAATAAGACGACATGGATAGTTTAATGAAAACACACAAGACATAAATAAACAAAGATCAAATGGATAGTTCACTTGTTTCCTTCATTTTCTCTCCCTCGTCCTCCAAGGCGTCCTCGACCCCTTCTTCCGCCTTCTCTACCTCCTCCTTCTTCGCGAGCCTGTTGGACAACTGCTCGCAGATTCCTCTTAACCCAATGTCCGACCGGAGTATAGCTAGGTGGTGGAGGTACAGGTGGCTGAGATGGACCAGAAGAGTGGTAGTAGGCAGAAGATGTGGGCTGAGATGTAGGCTGTTGAGGCGGTGTCTGATAAATCGGGGTCTGTTGTTGATGGTGGAATTGAGGGAACCCTTGAGGAAACATGTCATATTCCTGTTGCGGGGCATAGCTTGACGACCCTGGAGCGTCCTCCATTGTAGTTGACCACTCATGATCTGGCCATGGTCCAGGCAGTTGTGTTTGCTGAGTCGGACGAAGTTTTTCAATGTTTGGCTGGAATCTTTTCTTACTCCTCCGTGGGGGCTCAGCTGGGGGCACAATGGGCGCATCATCACGGAAAGAAGGTCGAGGCAGAGCATGCACTGGAGGGTATATGATGACATCCCTCATTTGCTCTCGCGTACAGCTGAGCAGGTTGTTGAAAAGCCTGTGTGGGAAAGATGTCTTCCGCTCGTCCATGGTAGGTGCACTCTCGACAATGTGCTTGGTATGTTCCAAGCCATCAACCTAAAACAAATAATTGGAAAATGCAATAAAATGAATCTAATCAAGTTAATTGCCATGACTCAAATCGAAGCATGTAATCTAGGGACAAAAGCATAAGAATATGACGAAGAGTAAGAATTGGAATCACTTACCACCGCTCCCCACACAACACCTTGCTTTGACACCCATCTAAGTGTGAATTTACGATACCACACTATGTATCCATCGTGGTACCCCATTGGCCTCGTCTCCAGTAAACCTTGGACAGCCCAAGTCGCTCTATTCTTCCAAATGTTGATGTAGAACTCATGCTTGCGGATCCAATTCTTTGATTTGTGACGTAGGTCGATGGCATGGAGCTCTTTGAACCCTTGAGGTGGGGATGATGGAATTGGTTGCTCCATCCGATACTGCCTCAATGCTCGATCTAGCAGGTGTCACTCAACCATGTTCCAACAGATTAAGGGCACCTTGCAAAACCACGTCTGTACATTCTAGGGGTGTCTAAGACGATGAATCTCGACGACTTGAGGTGGATATGGATCCCATGTCACCTACACTCATTAATGATTTGGAATTAGTACAAATTGTATCCAATCCATTTAAAAAATTTAAAATGATCCAATTTAACAGTTTTACCTGGTTCCACCAAGGCTTATCAAACTCGGCATGATAAAACAGTAAAGAGTGCTCAGGCTGGTGGTCGTTTGTATTTGCTCCGATCCACCTTATTAAGAAAAAGTACATATATAAGATATGTTAAAAGAATATATGCTATGCTATGCATGTGAGAATTCACTAAATTCACTAAATTCGCTAAAATTCGATTCTATGGAAGCATCTAACTTCACTAAAATTGCATACTTGGAATGAATCTAGATTCGCTAAATTGCATACTTGGAATGTATCTAAATTCGCTAAAATACTAAAATTGCATATTTGGAATAAAATTAGCATGTAAATTAATCTTACTTGACACCATAGGGGGGATTTGCTAGTTCGCGTAGCTCCTCATCTGGACCCCAGAATTCCTGCGGGTCTTGGGGAGCGAACATTAGAAGATGCTCCCATGCCCAGAGTTGGAGTATGAACATCTCACCTCCAGCTTGTTTCGCTCCCAACCTCAAGCAAGTGCACAGCTCTCGGTAGATCCTAGCCAATACGGCCGACCCCCAACTCTTTCCCCCGATCTCGTCCCAATCACCAAGGAGCAACGACCACATGCCTTGAATCCACCGGTTTGCCTTGTCGAGGAACAGAAATCCACCAACCAACCCAATGAGGTAAACGCGTGCATATCGCTCCACCTGATCTTCGGGGGTGTCTGGCCCTAAATTAACCTCATGTTGGATGTGTTCAACAAGCCACGGGATTGAAACTTGCCCCGCATTGAGCGGTGGATGCCCAACCCCTTGAACGGGCGTTGTGGTCGACATGTTGAACCCCAAACGCTTGAGAATGAACGGGATCCAACCACCTTCGGGTTTACTCGAGTTGTCGATGATGGCCTCTCCAGTGACCGCCAGCCCGGTGAGGATGGCAACATCTCTGAGGGTGATCGTCATTTCCCCCTCAGGAAAGAGGAAGGTATGCAACTCGGGGCGCCATCGCTCTGCCATTGCCGTAAGCAAATCGTTGTCGATATCAAGCCGCATGAAATGCCTCAGCATGCGCAATCCCATCCTCTCTAGATAGGGCTCCAGTCGAGGATGCCAAATAGGCAATCGACATGTCCCTCAATGTCTGATGGGAATAAGTGATTCCTACAAAACAAAAAACGAAACAAAAAATACAATGTTGTTAAACGAAAAAAAAAGCAAAACAAAAAGTTTTAACCTAATGAAATAATTTAAAAATTTATACGGTACGGAGTGTCTACCGGATTATTGTCCCAAATTGCACGGGAGCGATGTTGTTCTTGCTCGTTTAAATATTTTCGATCCCTTGGGCCAGGATCGATATACAAACGAGGGTCGTATATCTCAGCACCCATCTATAAAAAAATGTGAAATGAAATTAGATTATTTCAAACCCATTTAAAAAAATATCACAAAAGAAGAAAAAAATCTGTACTCTCAGAGCCTCTTTGTCCATTTTTGGCCGAAAAGCTGGAGAGAGTATCGACGAAACTTTAGAGCAAAGGATTGAAAACAAAATAAAAACTCTAGTAATTCTTTCTGATGTGGAAGATCAGACTTAGCCGCAACCACAAAGCATACTTAGAACGAGACTAGAGTGAACTAATGGAGGGAGAAAGAAGTATAAAAGTGGTGGTGTGGTTTGGAATGAGGGGGAAGGAGTGGTATTTATAGTGAGGATCACAGAGCATTCCCCACTCTTGTCGAAGATGGTGAACCAAACCCGCTTTTCTTGAAGACGGTGAAGGGCACGGATCGATGATGTGGCTTGGTTTGAGGCGTCGAATGTGGGAGAAAAATCAGAATCCGCGCCTCACCGCATCGGACGATAACGGTGAAAGGCGCGGGTGACTCGTAATAGGTTACCTCAACAAACACCAGTAATAGTAATAGGTTACCTCAACAAAAATATGGATTGTAATTGTATCAATCTGTCTGTAGAAACTAACACTAAAAAATTGATCCTCTCCACAAGCAAAGGGAAGAAAAACCCATGAACACTAAGAAAGAAGAAAAGGCCAAATGCTATCTGTTTGTATCGGTAGCCGGCGCCCCTGCCCCCGCCGCCGTCGCGGCAGCTCTGTTCTTTCGCCGCCTTCGAACCAAATAGTAGTACCCCACACCACCAACAATCCCCAATAAGACAAACCCGTCAACCACACCAACCACTACCAAAACCCACCTCTTCAAACCCGATTTCCCACGACCCGACCCATAACCCCCTTTCTTAACCTTCACCATATAAGTCATCAACCCCTTCTCCGCCGCCGCCACCTGCTTCACCCCCATCGCCACCCCATAAACATAACATCCACCAATCACGCCTCCGCCGCCACCACCACCACCACCACCAGAAGAAGCAGAATGCAGCGCCGCCACGCAGTTACAATCCTCCAGGCAAGTTCTCGCGCACCCTTCCTTGCTGACGTTAGTCTTACCTGGCGCACCGGACAGCACCGTGGTGACGTCACTCAATTCCACCATCTCCACTTCCTCCTCCCCCGCTCCGCCGCAGAACCCTCCCCCTCCTCCCTCGAAATCGGCCTTCTCTCCGCCGCAAGATCCGGGATCTCTGCCGGCGAGATGGATGCAGGAACACGAACCGGCGGACGTGCAAATGCCGTAGGGCTTACACGCGGCAGGAAGATCGCAGGTCGTTTTCAGCGATTGAAACGCGGCCGAGAATTTCCGCTGCTCCGGGGAGTAAAAATACAGCCCTAGGTTTCCTGTTCGATTCCCTATGGACAAGAACCGTAACGGTTCGATTCGATTCGACCCAATCTGGGCTATTTTCTGGTTCAAGTCGTTGTAGACCTCCAACGCTCTGGTAGCCAGTTTGATGAAAGTGACGTTCCGGTTCATTGAGGGCTTGAATTCCCAGTAGGTATAGTTCAATTTACCGGAAATCAGGTGGAGAGCTATCCGGTTGCGGTGAATTTCGAATGTGTAGTAGAATGCGGTTGAATTGGGGCCGGCGGCAGTGGCGGAGGCGGAAGGGAAAGAAGTCAATCGAGTGGCCACGTTGAGCCTCTGGCCCCACAGCATTACGTCGGTCGGGAAATTGAAGCTCTGCCATTTCACTCTGTCGCTGGCGTCCACCAGCACCAGATTCCCTGTCTTCAGAATCACCAGCCTCTGAACAACGGGGGGGAAAGAAACAGAGAAACCCCATAAATAAGAAACTAGTGCTGGAGAGTAAGGTTTAATGAAAACTTGAGGGCTAGAGTTACCTCCACACCTTGTGCAGAAGTGCCAGAGCGCCATCCTAGCCGGCCATTGGAGCCCTTCAACTGCAAATCTCCGTCTTTCGTGAGCTCACCGACGCACTCATCGGTGGTGAAGAATGGGGAGTAATGGCCGGAGTTCCAGACCTTGACATCACCGAGAAAAATCTCAAGGGAGCAAGAGTATCGCCCAAGAATTGGTTCGACGCTCAATAAGACTTTGAAACTGGGTTCGGGTTGGTCAGTCTCCATAAGAACGGCTCGACCAATAAACCCAGGGTCGTAATCTTCAGGAATCGCGAGTGGCAGCTTGTAGCCGACGGTAATGTCAGATTTGCAATACCCATTCCGAAGAACCGAAAGGAGAGCCAGAAATGAGGGGATCATGATGGTGCAGAGCTCTTTCATCGCACGATTCCAGGAAAGTTCTTTGGTTTTTTTTCCTGGGAAAATGGAAATGGAAGGAAAGGAAAGTTGGAAGAGAGAGTGGGAGTTCTAGACCGAGTGTCATGTCATTCCCACTCCAGAAAACAAAAAGGCTAGGGGCTTTCATTTTTTGGGGCCTCTTTTTGTGAAAGGTGAGTGGGGTTATTGGTGGGCATTATTATGCCAGAAAAGATTTAGTGTGTTCATTTGGTTACTTACTTAATAATTACCATACGGCTTTCTTTACCAGGGAGTAATGGAGTCCAAAACAGCCTGTCCATGTGAAGGCCTGGCTAATTAATTAATTGTTACATTGATTTTGCAGTCAATTCTACTGGCCATTACCTTTCCCAACTGCGGTTCTGTGACTCTGGTCTGTTATTAGTTATTTACTTTGTTATCTGTGACAACAGTAATCATAATGCCTCTTGGTTATCTGATAATAATAAAAAAAAATGAATATTTAGAGGAAAACAAAATCATAGTACTGACTGATAGTAATTATGCAGAGAGAGAGAGAGAGATTGGGTTTTGGGAGTAGGGACATGGTTTTAATCCATTCCCATCGGCCATCACTCTCTATCTATCTTTGGTGATGTTGGGAAACAATTGATTACTTCCTTTACGAGTGCGCGTAGGACTTGGGTCCCACTTCAGGTCGCTGACATGTCATTTTCACGTGGACATAGTAAATGCCTGCCACGTGTTCAGATGATTTCTGCTGACATTCTTCACACGCATGTGTTACGTTCTCGTCTAGCCATTACGAGCGGCCCATTTGTAGAAGGCCAATCGGCCCATTCGGTCGGACTTGAGTGCATGGGCTAAAAAATGGGACGCTTGTTTCCTATGGACTTTTAGAAGACATGGAGTTGATGTCTCTGTAATGGTCGCCGTTCTCGCCGCCGGCGATTTAACCCTAATTAGACGCCGCCGCCGCCGCCGCACCAACTCGGGGGTTTTGATCGAAGTGGACGGAAATGTTCCTTCTACCCCGCCCCATTCAAGCAGCCATCTCAACTGTCCCCGCCATTCGCCGCCATATTTTCCCCGTGTTCTTCTCAACTGCCAACATGAACTGCGGCAGCGACGAAGTTGTTCATGGTGTAAGCGCTGCAAACAATTCTGCTCTAGGAACTAGTGAGTGAGTTCGAACCCTTTCCTTCCTCCAACTAAATTTCAGTTCTTTTCCTCCAAGTTTTGAATGATTAGCGTAAGTAATGCACTTCTGAACACAAACAGAGACTAGCAATTCGAAAGTGGAGGCCGAGCAAACTCTCAACTCTGTTTCAATACCCAAGCGGGGATATTCTAGTAGTAACAGAAGAAGACTTAAGGTGGATCTCAGATTGAACTCTCGTATGGAAGATTCCGCAGCTGGGAGCGAGGACTGTGGATCTTCTTCTCTGCCAACCCAATTCGGGAAGAAGAAGAAGAAGAAGCGCTTGCCGGCGCCTGCACGCGTTAAAAGGTCCAAGTCTAGTGAAAGGTTTCCCAAATCACTAGTGAACGCCAACGACTGCCTGCTTGATTTAGAACCATTTGATATCTGCCAGCTTGAGGAAACCAGGAGCGACTCACTACAGTGCCCTGATAATGTCGAGCGACTAACTGAAACACCGAGTACAGAGCTGTTGAGGCCTGGAATGGTTCTGCTTAAGCATTACATCACACACGATTCCCAGGTGCTCATTAGATGAAATCATTTTACTCTTTATTCTTGATTATCGTTCAGGGTATGGCTTAACCTTGTTATATGACCATGAGGTGCTAGGTGGAGATAGTGAAGACTTGCAGAGAATTGGGTCTGGGGAGGGGAGGATTCTACAGGCCTGGATTCCAAGATGGTGCCAAACTTCGGCTCTACATGATGTGTCTTGGCCTGAATTGGGATCCTGAGACCAGAGGATACAATAAGAGAAGGCCAATCGACAACGTTGAAGCGCTTCACATTCCAGATGTATTTAAGGTGCTGGTAGGGAAAGCGATTGAAGATGCTCACGAAGTTATAAGAACGGATGGCAATCAAAGCAATGTGGAAGACTTACTTCCTGGAATGACTCCAGACATATGCATTGTGAATTTCTACGCTGCGAATGGCCGACTCGGACTTCATCAGGTTTGTTGGTAGTTAGTTCTACGTTAACTTTGCTTTCTAGGGGTTGTTTTAATGTGGAAACCTTAACATGTGAGGATTAAGACCCATTATGGAATTTGAAAATATTGTTTGAATGGTTTATTTGAGAGATGTACCTGTAAATGGGTCGCATAAGTTAGTTCAAGTACACATAAAAGTGGATGGAATTAACAAAACCTTCCTTCCATTGAGAGATTTGGAGATTTGTCAATTCCATCCATTTGGCATCTTTTTCCTTTATCATCCGAATGAAGTTACCAAATTCCTTCAGCTGAGAATTGAATGCCGATTTCATAATCAAGTTTACATATCCAAGCGACCCCTTAGTTTCCCTGCTCATAACTTACCTGTGATAGTTGGTGGTGGATTGTAATTTTCGTTGCTACCCCTTCACAGGATCGAGATGAAAGTAGGGAGAGCATCGACCGAGGACTTCCAGTAGTCTCAATCTCTATCGGAGATTCTGCAGAATTCCTTTATGGAGATACGAGGAACGTGAACGAGGCAAAGAGAGTAATGTTGGAATCTGGAGATGTGTTAATATTTGGTGGCAAGTCCAGACATGTCTTTCATGGTGTGGCATCGATCATCCCAGACTCTGCTCCCACCACACTTGTGAAGGAAACTGGGCTGCGCCAAGGCCGCCTCAATCTCACTTTCAGACAATACTGAGCACAACTCCTTTAAGGTATTTTTTTTAACTTGCTTCCTCTTAACTAGACTCTAGCAAGTATGGACCATAGGAAGAGTATAAACCCGATGACAGTTCATCAGCTTTGTAGATAAGGATTGAATTAGTTGATGCTTTAGATTTCTGGTGATGCTGTTTGATCCCTTGTCGATGCTTTGATCGCTGGCTGGTTTAGTCTTTGGTGTTATCGTATTACAACCTATGATCCAGATCATATTGACCAAGTGATTAGTGTACTGCCAAACTCTTTTGATACTGAGGAGTACTGCCTAACTCTCAGATAATAAAAAAACTAAAAGTGGAGGCAGGGAAGTTCTGTTTTAAACATAGGGAATAAAGAACTCAATAGGAAGGGTTGCCACTTGACATGATAAAATACAAACTCTAATGATCCAATGGCGTTGGCCTGTTAAACAGATCATGTAGCACACTATCCCAGCAGATTTACAGATGGCTGCCTTGTCAGGAACGAAGATAAGGTATAACAAAATGGTAACAGAGAGAACAGAAAATAACAAAAGGAGAAGATAAGATATAGAATTGCATGGTATGGTTGGTCATGGTATTGGTGGGACACGTAAGAAGAGCACATTATATGTGCTCTATTATTAGTTTATCAACACTAAGCTATGGTTGGTCTGGTCTGGTCTGGTACTGGTAGGTTGGCTGGGAAGCCATTGTCAACAGAAAGAAGAACCGGGAAGCAAGCCAAAGCTGAAAGCTCCTTGTAGCTTTGTCTGTACTCTCTGTTAGCTTGGTTTTTTTTTCTGAGATGCTTTGATGACTTGGAAAGACGATGGAGCCTCTCAGATGGCATTTCCTAAGCTGGTTAAAAATCTTTAATGGAAGAGCCTCGTCACTGAAAGCTATGGCACCCATCATTGCATGAGCAACTAAGGCATCCATCATCGTCACACTCACGCGCTCTGATTGGCCTCATAACTCTTACTGGAACTGTGAATCTGACGCCACTGCCATAAGCCAGACGCATAAAACTCCCATCTGTGGGAAAAATTTTATTAGTAGTAGTTGAGGCATACGCCATCTGTTCTGTTTCATAGAATATTTGTGGTTGAAGATGATAGAATAAGCATCATCGGCTTTGGTTATAGAAAGTTGCTTCTAAATCAGCCAGTTTGCTGACAATGTCAGCATGCGGGTATCATATCAGTGAATTTCGATGTTTTTGTATCTAGCAATCAGGTCTTTGCTCAAAAATAACATCGAAATGATCCACTGGTTACGATATTATTGTGTTAACGTGCGATTTCGTGATAGAATTTGTAATCAATTTAGTTTTTTTTTTTTTAGCTTATTATGTACAGTGAATTGGTGTAGAATCATTGTATCAGTCACGCTGGGTAGAGTCGTGCAAGGATGGGTGCACGGTTGGAAGTTAGTTCATGGCAAACATACAAGACGTATGAATCATAGCTGATTTCTGTTTTAAGTATGATGGTGACTTTGTGACGGGTCCGTTGTCCGCCTGTGTTAATTTGCCAGTGCAAAACAAAATCATAAGCTTATGCGTAATTCCGGACCGCGAATTCGAGGGAATGGAGTTGCATCGTGTCGCCATCTCACCCTGTGTGTCCTTTTGTTTGTGTCTAACTAGCTCCATCGCACTTCACCACAAGAAACCAACTTTCTCCTCTGATGGATGATCCGACGATAACCCAAGTTATATAAAGCAAATAAACAATGCATAAGCACAAAACAAAATAAAACAAAACCCAATTTTTTTTATAGTTTAATGAGTCTCTTCAAAACATCATTATCATCAGGATCATCGATGAAACATCCGTCACCTAGGCATAAAACAGGGCTAGATTCATCAACATCCAGTGCCTGGCTTTTGATACTATCCCTATACATCTTCCATTTCAACAGGTCTTAAACTCGAATTTCTCACTTCCATGAGTTAGTCAGATGTTTATGGAGTTGGAATAGCCTTGAACACATGTGTCGGGGTATAAAAAAATTAAAAAAAAAATCATTTCTAAGGTAAATGACATGTTTTAACTATATGTCTTACGTTATGTCTATATTCTTTTTTGAATTGAAATTAAAGTCCTTATTAGGGGACACCGTCGTCATTTAAATATGTATTTGATGATTCACATGATACGCACAATGACGGAGGGGGTGGAGAGGAGTGGGGTCCTAGGACCTCATTAAAAATAAGCTGGATGAAATGTGTGTGAATACTTGTTGAATGCGAGTATGTTAAGAACCTACGACCTCATTCTCATGAAATTTAACTCTCACCAACCTTATATACATACAAATAAATAGCACTATCAATAAGGTAGAACTAAAAATCATTAGTTTTTTATCCGTAAGTTTGAAGACCAAAAATTATATCCAAACTTTTTTTTGGTAGGAAGACAGACACCTAGGGTGTCTTAGCTCATATTAACAATAAATCGTTCTTGGGAAGTACTCATAATATTAAAATGTATATAGTGATTTATATTCAAATTTTGGATTCAAACAAGATGACGACTTTTATTATTTTATTAATAAAATTGATGAACTAATTGATTTCAATATATAATAAATTATTTAAATTTTATCTAAATTTCTGTATCAAATTATCATGAACAAATATAAAAATTTAAATTATAAAATTTATATTTTTGATGAGACTAAAAAACTATATTTCATTTTATCTCTTATTTAAATGAATAAGTTGAATCGGTAGATCGAATTCAAATTAGGTTCTATACCCAGATTGGCATTGGATTCATAGCTTACAAACGGCTCTAGCTACACCGGCGCTCTAGTCTGCGCCAATGGGCTCCTAAGTCTCGAGTGGAGAGTGGAGAGTGGAGAGAGCACCAAAAGAGAAGAAAACGATTTACAAGTGCAAGTCGTGATAGTAACTGTAGCAATAATACAATGCAATGCAAGTATGCAACACATTTATCATACACCCGTCACTGTCGCCATCCTCAGTCAGGTCCACCCTCCAGTATCATGGCCCAGCCCATGCTTCGCGTTGGCCGTTTAGTAGGTCGCAAAAGAATGATGATAGTGGTTGTCAACTGTGCACCAAGGGTAGAAAGATAAATATTTATTAATCTTTTTTAATAAATTACATTTTTTAAGTTTTAACATATTAATTATAGTAATTTTTTTTATTTCTCTCATTTCAGTCGTTCTCCGGCCACCTCTCTGCCTTCTTTTTATCAATTTTTTTTCTTGTTTCTGCTCAGTCGAACTAATACCACTGCAAAAATAAAAATCAATAACTAATAAAAAAACACCAATACCAATTCAAACAAAGCGATAATAGTTCAGAATAACCAATACCGCTACATAAATAAAATAATAAATCAATACCATATCATAAAAAATATTACCACTTCAGCCTACAAAAACACTACCACTACAAGTCTACCACAACATACACAAAAATACTATCTAACTACCACAACCACACAATATTAAACAACCACTACCACAAAAAACAACCATCAATACTACTAACACAAAGACCAATACCAGAACATGTTAGAAATCGAACAGAAAAATTAGGGTTACCGATCTGGCTGAGTCGCAGACTAGGTCGCTCTCTTTAAACGTTCGCGGCACTGCCTTCGTTGCGCACGGCAGACTATCAGTCGGTCGCCTCCAGGATAAAACAGCCACTCTTAGTTTGTTGCTCATCGGTTTTGTGCGAAAACCGGAGCTCTATGAACTCACTCTCTATCTCGTGTTTCTGCTCTCTGAGGTGTGTTTAGAGGGTCTGGGGCGTCTCCTATTTATAGGAGCAGAAAACCCAGAATATTCCCTCTTTCTTTGGGAATAAGTCATAGTTTAATTAGGGAGATAATTACTCCCATAATTAAAATATAATCTATTAAGATAATTATTCCTAATTATCTCCATAATATTCCTTTTATTAATTATCCATCTTATTTATGTATTATGGGAAAATACTGGATAATTAATTAGGAATTTCATTTATAGCTTTTCAAAGCTATTCATCCCAACAATCCCCCACTTGAATAGTTTTGAAACTATCTTGAGCATCAACAGTTCCATAAGATCGGGCATAAGCTAAGGTATCGCGAAGATTTGAACCTTAACGTAGTGGTTACACTTCCGATTTCATAAGGGTGACTCGTAGTCTTGAACCCTATCTCAGACAATGTAGCACACCGGATCTTTTCATTGAGTGATATTCTCTCATAGGCCGTGCGTTTATAGCCATGCACGTTATCCCGGTTTAGTGAACGCTCTAGCAACTTTGTGCCTCCAAAGTTCCATAGGGAGCGGCCCCACTCCCACATTCACATAGGTGAGTCTATCAGAAGTACCCCCAAAGTAAAGTACTCCACCCCACATAGGGTATAGATCTCATTAAGAGTTGTTAACTCAACCTCCATTGCTTTGGGATTCATGCTTCACTATGCATGAACTTTTCGCATACTACTCATGACTTGTTATTACCCATTGAACCCATTTCTTGGGATCTCCAATCTATTGGGTCGGGTTACCATCACTTGTAGTCCGTGGTTCGGTAGGCATAAGTCCCATACCCTTGGCGGTATTTTGGACTTTCTCTCTAGATAATCCTTTCGTCAAAGGATCAGCTAGATTATGTTAGGACCTTACATGATCCACCCTCATAGCTCCTATCGTTAGGAGTTCTCTTACAGTACTGTGCTTACGACAAATTTGTCGTCTCTTTTCGTTCTAGAACCGGTTCCCTTCTTTAGTAATAGCTGCAGTGATATCACAATGAATCAACTAGCGGAGGGATCGGTCTTTCCCATAAGGGAATCTCTAGTAGTGACCCTCCCAATCAACTTTCCTCTTTACTAGCCATTGCTAGTTCTATCATTTCCGATTTCTTAGTTGATTGAGCCAGGATCGTTTACTTCTTAGACTTCCAAGACATAGCTTCTCTATCGATGTTTAAAACACAGCTTCTTGTTGTCTTGGAGTCCTCTATAGGGTATTCTAATCCGCATCACTATACCCTACCAATACAGCAAAACCTTTGATAACAAATACCAAGGTTTTTCTGTTCTTTTAAGGTGTCTCATGACCCCTTTCAATAGCATTTCAATGCTTCATACTAGGACAATCAGTAAGCCTGCCAAGTACCCCCACTATGTTGGGTCTCATGTTTATCAGCTGCCTCTCGCAGACTGTCGATGCTAGTATGTTCTTACTTTCTTACACCGTCTTTGGTGCTCTTAAAAAATTTATACAAGCATCATCAAACATGTATGCAGGTGTACATCTTGTATTTTCCTAGTTATTAGGATCTCTAAGCATAACATTTGTTTCATTCAGATCCTTCACATTCAAAATTCTCAACCATCATGGTTTTTTCAATATTGACATCACGAGTCTTTATACCAAAGATCGACGTGTCATTCTCAAATTTGTACTAAATGCACTTGTCACTTTCACTTTTAAAACCATGAGAGAGAACCAGTTTATCCATGCCATCGTCTTAGAGTCTATTTCAAATCTTACAATGATTTGTCTAACTATAGACTCCCTAAGCATGTTCAGCAATAACAACCCTATAGGTTGTCCCATGTAGATTTTCCTATCTAAATCACCATTCACATAAACATGTTTAACAATCCATCTGACGCATAACACTAGCAATCAGAACATACATGGATGTTATTCTACATATGGTAAATAGATAACAAGAAAATTTACAATTTTTCCTTTTCGCTTAAAGCCTTAGCTATTAGGCGATCCTTATACTCATAAACTAAACCAAAAGGTTTCACTTTTCTTTTAAGAATCCATTTATTACCCATGACTTCATTGCCAAGAGGTAATTCTCAAAGATGCCAAATCTTGTTCGATTCTATCGATATATTACCCAAGGCTTTTCAACCAAGAGGTAACTCTACAAGATTTTAAGTCTTATTAGACTCCAATAATTCCATTTCGTTAATAATGGATTCTCCCACAATTCTGCATCTTTATTGAAGTTCGAACTTCTAGCAGACTTGTAGGATCTTTCTTTCTTAGGGTGTAAATAACAAATTCATAACCAAAATCCTTTCGTGATTTATGGTTCATTTGTTTCTTTTGAGTTTAAACTCAGATTTATTACCCCCACTAGTTCCATTATTTCTAATAGTAGGCAGGACACTACCCCCACTATTTCTTGATTTAAAATGGAAGTTTCTTGGCATTAACGGATTTCACAACAA